TTCTTCTTTTTAAGTAATCTGAGCTTACAAAGCATGGGCTCCTTGTCTGTGATGCTTCTGAGTGCATTTTTTCAAGGACACTGAACAAGCAAAAATAGTGCCATTAATACCGAGAGTGCCAAAATGTGCCTGAACAAAATCAGAGCAAAGATTTCCAGTGTGAACTCTTGTCTGGTCATTTCAGGACTACCCAATTCATGTTTCTAATAAAGGAATGAGAAAAGGATTAAAAAGAAAGCTCTGCTTAAAGGCCACACATTATATTTAAGCCTGGAGTATGAATGATTTTTATTTGAAGATTTTTGAAGCAGTGTTGCTGAGCTTAGGTGTTGCTATGAAAAAGCTAACACTGGTTGTATTGTAAGTGAATCATCTCTTTCACATGATGCCAGCACTGTTGTGAGAGTAACAGAAACATATAGTCTAGGTACTGTAATATTGTTATGTTAAAGGTTGATTACCATTATATAGCTGGATCTTGGACTGAGAAGTTACTACAGCCTTGCTGCAAAAATGGAACTTGCCCTTTGCTCTTCTCCCTGCATTTATTGCTTTTTTTCAGGCTATAATTACAATGCTTTAGTCATGTGCAAAGGAAAAATATGTCCTCTTAGCTTCATAGAAAAGCCCAAAGAAGCTTTAAGAACATGCTTAGGGCTTATAAACTGCTGAAATTTCCTCAGACGTGACAACAATCAAAAGTTTCATTTGCACTTTATATGGAAAGTCAGATATGAGTCATGATTAATACATGATTTGATAACACAAAAGAAAATACCAGATAATTAGAGATCCCCCTTAGAGAATCTTATGCTGTGACCCAAAACTTTTACCTTCATGCAAACCACAACTAGTAGAGAAAATCAGGTATACAATCTGTGGCACTGGTCTGGAAGAATGCAGACATACTAGATCCTGACACACCAGATTTTGTCAAGTTCCATCCAAAGGGCAATGGGTGGGTACATAAAGAAGGTCAGCATATTCTAAAGTGGTTTGTAGACCAGATTCCTCAAGAAATCTATATGGAACTTGATGGAATTATGCTTCACATTGATAGTGGTTATATCAATCATTTTGATTACCTACTGATTCAAAATCTAACGCATCAGAAATTGGAATGTGTTTACAAAAATGAAGTATCACTGTTAATGTTATGCATTTATTACATAATAGTTATATAAGTATTCAAGACAAGTTATTTGGTAAAATTTATTAAATTCATTGAAAGATTTCAGTTTGAAAAAAAATAATAGGTTATATATCTTCAAAGGGGTTTCCACCCAGCCTCTAATTTTTTGCCTGCAATTAATTGTGGGAACTAATTATAATGTTTAGACGTCTAACAGTTGATTTGTGGTCACAACTAGATGATTAGATGTGAGGACATCGTGACCTGCACCAGTAATTTTGCACCCTCAATTGATCGCAAGCGAAAATTTAGTCAGTGTTCAGTAAAAGAAATCTGGCCCAAAATAAGGCCTTGTAAGACTGATTTTTACCATAATTTATCAATGAAGACTGACAGGTCCCACTTTATAAAATCAATATGTTCATTTTAATACCAAAAGAAGAACGGCCAATCTTTCTAGTTCTTTACGGACTGCCCTGTGGGTGCTCCACTTCAGGTGTCTTGGCGCCCTGCACTTATAATCGGAGATTTGTAGTAGCGGTGTCCCAGTTGACTGTGCATGTCAGCCGTCTCCCGCCTCTCTGAGCGGCTACCTCACATGCGCAGCCAACCAATCCCCAGTTCCTTCTCTACCGCCTTTGGCTTGAGTCAGAGCAACAGCAGTACCCCTGTCTATTTCGTAAATAGTATATATTCCCATCTTTATCCTTTTTTGTCGGTTTTCTTCCATTTTCCGGTCATTTACCCACTTTAAAAAATATATATATTTACTTTGCTTCCCCCAACACACACACACACCCGCCACTGGCGGGTCTCTGCCAACAGTGACTGAACTACGACCGTTTTCTATAGACCTGGACCTCCTCAGGCATGCCAGGTTCCCCCAGCTTTAAACGGTGCCTGACCTGCAGGCTATCAATTCCTGTATCTGATGGTCATGCTCAGTGCATCCGCTGTCTCGGGGAAACCCATGTACCACAGAAGTGTCCACACTGCAAGAAATTATCTGCCAGGACACTGAAAGCCAGGGACCTTCAACTAAAATTATTAATGATGGAGTGTGACGGGTTGGATCACAGAAACCCCCTTGGGAGCTGTCACTCGATGTACCAAGACTACCCCTGCTCCTGTTTTCCCTGCCAGCTCAGGACTCCAGCACCCTGTCTGGCTCTAACGCAGACCCGGGGTCTGAATCACTTGTCCCAAAGCTGCAAGTTTACCTGAAAACAGTTCACAGAAGTTTGCTTGTCCTTAGCACTCAGATGCCCAACTCCCAATGGGGTCTAAACCCAGATAAATCCGTTTTACCCTGCATAAAGGTTATGCAGGGCAAACTCATAAATTGTTCGCCCTTTATAACACTGATAGAGAGAGATGCGCAGTTGTTTGCTCCCTCAGGTATTAATACATACTCTGAGTAAA